AGCAGCTACTTGGCGCGCCCGTTTTGCTTATATTTACAACATTATTATAATATTAATATTTTCTTGAAGGTTATAAGTATTTATTGATCTTTATACTCTTCAATAAATACTTATAACCTTCAAGAAAATATTAATATTATAATAATGTTGTAAATATAAGCAAAACGGGCGCGCCAAGTAGCTGCTGCTGGAGATTTTGCCCATTTTCAATTTTTGTCTCTCATAATTTGTTGCTTGTTATCGTAATTACTCCTTTTTCAATTTCTACGCCTCTTTATTGTGCCATTTATTGCATTTCATATTCTCAAAATTTTATTTGGCCACCGTAATAAATGTTTTAAATGTCTTTCATGTTTTATATTAAGGCTGCGTTCCGATATTCATTGCCAGTGTTGAAAATATATAGGCATGCGTGACGTAAACTATAGATTTCTAGTACTGGCAGTGAATTTCTAATAAATATACTTGGAGTAACATTTTGATTTCACTCCTTTTTCATGGCAATATATTTGGTTTTTCTATCGCGTTTTTTGAACATATTATTTAGAAAATTCAATGTTTTTTAGGCGGATTTCTTTTTGATGGTTTTGGTTTTTCTATCGCGTTTTTTTAACATATTTAGAAAATTCAATGTTTTTAGGCGGATATGATCTTATATGATTTAACGCTAGTCTTTATGATTTAACACTGTTTTATTTGGTTGGATACGATTTCTATGTACGATTTTACATTTCATTAGATTTAATACCATTTTCTTTGATTCTATACGATTTTATATGATTTATATACATGATTTTACATTCTATATGACTTTCTATGATTAAATACGATTTTATATGATTTAATATGATTTTTATATGACTTAATACGATTTTATATGATGCTATATGATTTTATATGATTTAATTTCATTTATATGCTTTAGTACGATTCTATATGATTTTAAATGATCTTATATGATTTAACGCTATTCTTTATGATTTAATGCTACTATACATGATTTAATGCCATTTTATTTAATTTGATACTATTTCTATATAATATGATTTAACATTTTATTAGATTTAACACCATTCCCTTTGATTCCATATGTTTTATACGATTTTTTATACATGATTTTACCCAGTGAAAACAGTCAAGTCAAAATGACGACAATATGACGTCAAATTAGTCGATTGTTGTCATGGCGTCAAGAAAGTGGACCAAAATGACGAAAAATTGACACCATATATTTTGACGTTGTACGCGATGAAACATCATAAAGAAAGATAAAAATGGATATTTCAATAATAATTGTAGAGTTATATGGGAAAATCTCAATCAATGTCATGTTGACATCAAGATGACTACATTATGATATCATTTGAATATTCTATATATCATACTGTGAAGGTTTGGCTACAAATAAAACTTACATTTTCTCCACTTGTGGAGAAAGGGAATACAATTTATTTTGTATTCTTTTTACATATAATAATTTTATAAAATCGCGGTCTATAACTTATTGTTAGTTGCGTCGGTAACTCGGATGGACTCGGATCCACGGCCCACCGCCCATGCCGAGGACCAATCGCATCGACTGACAAGTGAGAGCGAGTAGGAAGTAGGACAGAACGTCATTTTTTCTCTCTCGGCGTGACGAACTCTGAAGAGCGGGCGCGCGACTCTGTATGCATGAGTGGAGGGGGAAACCAGCAGTGAGTGTGCTCGGGCTCGAAGTCGCGGCACGTAATGGCTGTGTTTTGCCGAACCTCTGCAGCTAAGCAATCGTTCGTTTGATAGTTTCAATGGTGATTTCGATTACAGTGCCGCTTAACTCAGCATCAGCGCTTCTGTCCAGCCAAATATTTGTAGGCAAGTGCTCGCCCCTTAAGTGCGCTTATAGTTGAACAGAGGTTCGGCAAAACAGTCAAGTTTTGGTACCGGTTTTGTGCACGTGCCGTGCACGTGCCGGTGTTGCTGCGTGTCTCCATGTGTCTCGTGCCCACGTATCTGCATACTCGACGACCACAACACAGGTAATTCTGCTTTTCCTTTTTTTATATAATATTCTAGCGAACGACAAAGTTTAAATATATTTTTGTAGGCAAGCGCTCGCCGCTTAAGTGCGCTTATATAGTTGAACAGAGGTTCGGCAAAACAGCCAAGTTTTGGTACCGGTCTTGTGCACGTGTCGGTGTTGCCTGTGAAGGTATAAATATATTTTTGTGTAGCAGATGATAATAGATCTGCTCTCGGACAGGTGGTCAACATTCTGATCGACAATGGATACAAGACAAGTAAGTTTAGGATAGTCTACAATTTTTTCTTTTATATTTTTTCGCGGAATTAGCAAATGATAATTTGTATATTAGTGTGTTTCTTTTGATGATAATATTATTTTAATCGTCTTTATGTGCAGGTGCAGTTAAATTGCGATTTCCTTCGAGTTTTTTAACTGACACTGAGGCAAAAATTAAGCGTTGGTTCCAAACTGCCAATGGAAGAAAAGCTGATTCTCAAAGTTATTCTAAAGTATAACTTGTTTGTAAGACTCATTCCCACTAAGCGCGACGCGTAATGTGTTCAGTAAAATTACGCATAGATTTTATTTTTTATGTTAGATGGTAATGTGGGGCTTATATAAAACATTGAAGCCCAATTAGTCAAACATTGTGATTATTACACATAATTATATGTGTTTACATTTTTGTTTTATTTAAAGTAATATAATTAAATAGATATATTACTTAATAAATGTCATACTACCATGGTATACTATAACATACCATGGTAGTATGACATATATTCTAAAGTATAACTTGTTTGTAAGACTCATTCCCACTAAGCGCGACGCGTAATATGTTCAGTAAAATTACGCATAGATTTTATTTTTGTTAGATGGTAATGTAGGGCTTATATAAAACATTGAAGCCCAATTAGTCAAACATTGTGATTATTACACATAATTATATGTGTTTGTATTTTTTGTTTTATTTAAAGTAATATAATTAAATAGATATATTACTTAATAAATGTCATACTACCATGGTATACTATAACATACCATGGTAGTATGACATATATATGATATATTCATATACATATATGATATATTCATATAATACGGTATATGAAATGTTCTATACTATATTTTATAGCAAAAGGTCAATAAAAAAACTAATAATATATATTTATGTCTGCTTCTATTCTATGTGACTTAGGTTTAATGCATTCGAGAAAGTTTAACTGCAAAT